CATTATCATAAATAAAAAATATTCTCTTAAAATATAAAAGATGATGAAGATACATTGCTTAAAAATATAGAACACGAAGTAAATGGCAAATATCCACCTAGATTACTTTTGCTTTAACTTTATGGTTTTACAGTATAAAAGCATATACTTATGTTCATATAAAGTACATATAAAAATAGATTGCCAGGATTATCAACAATTCGTTCATGGTATAATAGTATCCAAAACAGTTTCAATATTGCACGATATATATAATTGTACTATTCTGCCACGCATTCTGCTATATATTTTAAATAGAGCGATATATTTAGATAATAGTACATATTATTAGAAATATAGAGCGACCTTAAAATCAAACAGACATACATAAGATATAAATAAAATTAAATATCAACAGACATTATAAAAGACGACACAATTCTTTACTATAAAATTATGATTGCCCTTCTATATATAATATAGAAATAATTTATATGCAATGAAATATAAGCAAATTTAGTGTTACATACAAGTTTATTTTATATTATTTTATACAATATAAATTTCACAATATAAACAAGAAAGAACTCGGCCTCTTGCGACATTTCAACAAATTCGGTTTCTGAAGATTCGGCTTCTTGAGATTCGACTTCTTATGCTTGACCACAATATAAGAGGACGAAGAATGAGAGAAAGCGTCATTCGCTGCGCTCTTAAATATAAAGAATTCGGAAGTCACGCGCGAACCAATAGTTGCGAGATTATACATGGAGTCACGGATTGGTCGTTGCGGTTGCCCAGTCGTGCATATATGCTGGAGTCGTTTCGTTTTCGGCGAGATTTTAGTAGGCTCATTTATTAAATTTCATCGGAACATTTAGTTTAAAGTAAACTTTTGTACAAAAATTATTTATTAAAATTTGAAAATATATTATGTAAAATCTGTATCTATATTTTCTGTATCTGTAACTATATTTTCATATTATGCTGCTTATTATATATTTTATTTTTATTTAAACTTTTTTGTAAAAATAATATATAAATATCTTTAATATCTCTGATAGACCTATTCTCCAACTTCTTAACGACAGTTTCATTAGCTAGGGATGTCATTACGCAGATTTAACGACACTATAATGAAAAATGGTATTCTGTAATTTAACATAACAATAAATGTCATTAAAAATATCGATAAAGTACCGAATTTGGGGGTCAATCATGTAACTTTACGTGAAATTTTTCACTTTTTATTGTTCACTTTTTACTTTTCATTTTTCACACCTTGACATTTCACGTAAAACTTTTCACGTACAGCGATTATATATGTAGCTTGGATGCGTGGAAAGTGAAATCATGAAACATAGTTTCATAGATTTTATAGCTAATGAAGATTATTTTATTGGTACAGTATTATATATATCTTTTAATAACCAATTGTATATGTACTACGTACACTTAATCCTAACACGGCCTTAATCTTTTCTAATTCCGAAGCATATTATTAATTCCCTAGATTTCCGCCTTTCCGTCACCAAGGTACATGGCGAAAAAGTTCACATGAAAAATTTCACATTTTCACGTTTGAAAGAGTTACATGATCCCGCAAAATCGCAAATTACATGATCGTAAGTTCACATCAAACTTTTCACTTTTTACGTTTCCGCCCTAGGGAAAAGTTACATGATCGACCCCCTTGTCATAAGATATCGAGGCGTATCGAATCCCTCGATAAGCCATAACGATAACATAACTAGACATATCAATCAATAGCAACGTTCCGAAGTGGCTCCGAATAGTAGTACGGAAATGTGCAAGTATAGTATAATTTTATAATTTAAATATATGAACATCATAAACTTATTTTAAACATATTAAATATTAAGAAGAACACGCAAAAAGTAATATTACAATAAAATATTTTAATTAAAAGCAATGTATTATTAATGTTATAAATATCTAAGGATATGTTATCAATATCTAAGGATATTAAAATAAATAAATAAATAGATATAGATTATATTTTATTTATAAATTATATGTAATGTAAATCAGATGTTTTTCATAAAAAATTTTAGATAAAAAGTTAAGATTTTCTCTTATTTTTAAGGTAAAATCGCAGAAGGATATTTGGCATGGAATATATTACTTAAAAAAATTTTTTTAAATATGTAAAAAAAAGAAATTTAAACAAATAATTTAAATATTTATTAGCATTAAATTACATTAAATATAATAATTATTATTAATTAATAATAATTATTATTAATAATTTATTATTATTATATTTAATGATTTAAAAAAAAATTATGTATTAATTTCCTATGTAACCTGTTGTATATAACACTAACAACAGTGCTTTTAAGACTCAAAATAAATAATTAATCATTGACCAATTGAACTGCTAGTAATTAATATCAATTTCATATGTAGTTTATCAATATTTTTCATATATTACTTAAATTATTTATATATACTTACTCTGACATTGCACAGGCTTTATTTATCTCTTCTACTATTTCCCATTTTACCATTTTACTGTAAGTTTATAATCTTATAATAGTATATTATTATATAACATTGATGTATGTAATATTTATCATTGTTTTTCACCTTATTCACTTTATGTTCTTACTTATTATGTTTTCACTTATTGTCTTTATTTATCTTTATTTACTTTTATTTTAATAAAATGCTATAATGTATTTTATATTTACATTCTGATATATAATATTTATTAAGTATGTATATGCCCGCGCATATGTCAAAAAGGATGTGCAAACCAACAGATTACTACTTGAACAATGCTATTAATTCATAGAAAATTATTTCGTTTAGAGGATTTTGTTAGTACCAACATTATCCCCTCCATTTTTCGAGAAATTGTCGTAGGTTGAACCGTTCTCCGAACAGCAGTAGTACTAAATAGCGCTAATAGCGAACTCCCGAATGCACCCTTAGAGACACTACAATCAGAGACTGGCCATGAAAAAGCCACTTTTGATTGGTCCGCCATCTTTTGACTATTCCCACTCATTTTCAAATTATTAACTACATTAATCTTAAATTGTAATATTATAATTTTAAAAAATAAGCATTTCAAAGATAATAAAATGTATATATTTATAAAATTTTATTTTACATAATTATATTATTTATTAATATATTTATTAATTAAGCAATTTATTAATATACTTTTTTAATTTAACAATTTTAAATTTATTACAATTTATTTTTAATTTTATATTTATTTATAATTAAATAAAATAATACAATAAATAAAATAAATAAACAAAACATGAAAGAAAATAATTTTCCTTATTAAAATAATAGTTACTAATACTATCTTATCTTCTCGCAATAATTAAAATTAAAATTAATATATTAAAATTAATATATTAACATTACTTATTTACATTTATTATTATACATTATTTATTATTATACATATTTATTATT